AGCCGCCAGTTTTCGATCTTCTGTTTTGTTGATGTCCATTGAACTTAGCCACACATTTTGTTATTATCATTATTATTATTATTATTATTACTATTATTATATTGAAGTGCATAGTATAGTAAGTAATACTAATATATCTTATTATGTGTATGCGTATTATGTTATAAACGAAATCGATGTCATATTGCCGTTTAGCCGCGCAAATTCAAATATTTGTTTTGTTTCAAACTTAGGACCATTCTCATTATGCTGTAAATTGTATTGGAAATGGAAAATTAAAAAATAATAAAAATAATAATGATTTACGTTTTAAATTTGTATCCGTATAATGTACCAGTGCGTATTATATTATTGTTGAGTGACCTCTGAAAATAACGAATAGAGAAAAAAGAGTTAAATAATATAGGATGTATCTGATTGGCACTTAATGTAAAAAAATGTGCATAAACTACTGTTTTGTCGAGCTTGTGACGCATAGCTTGGCATCGGCCAGTGATTTTGCGCAAATGTCTTTTTTGCGTCCGAGCCAAGGGCGATAAATCACGTGGGAATACAAACATTTAAAAACATGATAAAACGACATATTAACCCATTCACTAGGTCATTTTTCATGAACCTCGTGTGGAGAGAGGGAGAGCGGTTTAATGATACTAAAAAAATACCTACCACAGTAATTATCGTCCAATTACTTATGAAAACATGTAATAAATAATATTTCATTGTGTGCTACACAATATATCATAATATTACGAGTATATACTTCATGTTTGAATGACGCAATCGGCGAAAGTAGCACAGAATACTGTGCTAGACGGCAGATTGTTGATTTTGTAGAATGGAATACTATATCGATCCGATTCTGCTCGCGGTCGGTGAAGAATAAAATGTCAATCACCAGACGAGAATATGTTCCGTTTGGAGCTGTTGGCTCCACTAAATATACAGTTAATTATTAATATTTAGGTAAAGAAAACAATTAGTATGAGATTGCGAGACTCATGCAGTTTTATAACGTTTTATAATAATGTAAATTTATCACGTTTTATGACAATGATAATAGAACTAACAAAATATGCAGTTATATAATTACAATTTTCTTCGTGCTGGAAACTTCTATACATTTGTTTTATTCAGTATATTTTTTACAAATACCTATTATATCGTCGAAAAAAATTAATTAAATAACAGAAGACGGTTTCTTTTTTTTTTTTTTACCCATACGATATCCAACCATTATTGTTATTGTTGTATGCTGGGATAACACTTAACCATACGGTGGAAAACGCATTAAAATAATGTTAAGTAAATATAATATACAACAGCACACACACACACACACACACATACACATATAATATATTGTAAACGCATACGCAATTAAACGTAAATCGTTTAGTCCACGACCAGTTTTCCAGTGTATGCATGTTTTTTACTGGGGTTTTAATAGTGGCGAACAATAGGCCCTGTCGCTGAGAAGTGCTACAGTTTATTACCTATTCAAAATACGGGTAGAAAAAACACGTTCAGCATTTTCATTAGAAATTATTTTAACATTCTAAGATTTTATGGCTTTTGACCCCCTATTTTTAATATATAATAGGTTTTTTTTTTTTTTTTTTTAATGATGGAAGATATGTATTCATTTTTTCCTTTTAATTATTTCAAAACATTTGCCAACTGCCCACACACCAATAAAAATATTATGTCGTTCGCGTTAAGTATAAAAAAAAAGACACGTACTTTTTCACCTTTTCATTCCTCCTCCTTCCCCACATCGTTCTCACAAAGACAGTATTCTTTTTTACGCACTGGCGATTTTTCTCAAGAGATGCTTTTCAATTTTTTTTTACGTGTATCAAAATAATAATAATATATTTATGTGTATATTCATTCGGAACGAGAGATAACCTTGTACCGACACTAATAAAAAAGGAAAAGATTGCTCTCCGCATGCATAATCGTTTTAAACTTGCATCGGGAAATATTCCAGTTTTAATATTTCATTTATCAATATAATAGAGGGTTACTATACACGAAGCACCACCACTGTGATTTGACAAATATCTGCATTAATCCGATTAATGTACGTGCGTCTTTAAGAAACATTTCTTCGGTTTTTCCTCCTTGAAAGTCCTCCCAAGCCGTAACACCGCCGCCGTCCTGCCCTCGTCCTTCAAATAATCATTACCACGAATAACGCGGGGGAAAATTGTTTACCTACGCATCAGTACCTTTCAATCTTTCTTATCTCTTGTACGACACAGCTGTATATATACTTTAAGCCGATTCGAATCTCTTTCTATACCCGCTTTAATCAATACTGCTCTGGGAGTGCTCCGCCACCCGCCAACCATCATCAAGTCCACCGTCGCCCGCTCCGCCACATCCTGCGGAGGGTAATTTAATTGCCCCTTTTGGGAATACAGTAGTAGTGGATCAGGGTGGTATTATTTATACGAAACATTCGGCGCCGGCGGAATGAACGCCGAAGAAATATTTACATATTTTGGAGCAGCACATGATAAATATTAATAGTTTTAAAAAGTTAAATTAAACCTCCTACCTTACTGTTACAGTTACGCCGAGGTTCTTTTATTTGTTCGTTATAGTTTATCCGAAAAGTTCACAATGATCCTTAAACGAATTGAAAATATAATAATAATAATAATAATAATAATAATAAAAAAAATTAAAGTTTTGGCCGTGCTAAATTGTGATGGGTCATACCTCATACCTCTTCACACATATTGTGCCCGTGGTTTATTTTTTCATTTCAGTTTTTCAACGTGGTTTCACGTAGTTTGTCGGATTTTTTATTCACTATTCGATGTGCTTATACAGGAACATAGTTTACATGCGTGTTCCTTTACTCCGAGTAGCTTATAATATCTGTTTTATATACATACACCTTTATGTGTACAGTCTATATTATTCGATGACATTTCTGCGGTTAGTAATAAATAGACGACCGGTACAGGTCTAAGCTTAAGTTATCAATTACCAAACGATTTGATATAAGTTACCAACCTTATTGTATGTAATGCGTATTTTTCAGAAAAGAATAACATGCGTCTTGGGACGAGTGTTTTTGTGTTTTATTTATTTTTTAGTTTTTTGTATTTTGTATTTAATCTTTTTGGGCGGTCGGACCATAATGAGAGGAGTGGTGAAATAGCAGGATCAGTGCATGACGAGTGGGCGAAAGAGATAGGGATAGAGTGCCGGAGAGATGGCAATAAAGTAACGGTGGGAAGAACGAGGAGGGATATAGAAGAGTTGCAGGTTCTTTATTGTTCGGTATAAAATAAATAAATTGAAAGCTGCGGCGGCTGATCCCAGACAATGAGGTCGGGTAATAAACGAGACAATTGTAAATAAAAGAAAAATAATATATATAAATGGTGGTATTTACAACGGCAGAGCTTATTTGACATTTACTTGACGTGGAAAACTAGTTTTCGTGTTTGCTTTTGTTCGGGGCGCGTGTTTGTTGCCGTTTACCCCGTCTACGCCGCTACCTCTCCTCCGTCCAGCCATTCGTTGGCCTTCAACCACTATCACTGTGCTCCGTAGTTCGGGGCCCTATAACCGTTGGTCGCTACCAACGTTTTCTGGTGTTGTCGTACGGGTGGTCTTCCTCGAGCACAGTATAACTAAAGTATACATCGTGGCTAATTATTATTAAACAACCAAAATTGAATAATAATACTGCTCAACGAAATATCCACTACGCGATTACTAGTGAAAACTATTGTTTTATTATATACATGTTTCCATAAGTCGTTTCAAGTGTTAATACCCTACAAATTGAATTAAATGCCAGATTATATTCCTTTAATATATTACAATTTGCAATAATATTTGCTTAGACTTTTTAAAAATAGATTTTATTTTCGAAAGATTTTCAAATATAATAACTGGAAAATGTATTTATTAGTTGCACGAAAGGTAATAAACTCAAAAGTATTTTTCGTTCGACTTTTACGATTCTACAGTTTTGAGAAAGTAATAAGTATACGAGTGTACCTACTCATCCAGACCATGCATTTGATAGCAATAAAAATAAATAAATTGAATATTTTTTTTTTCTATCATATGGAACATTATGTTCATATTACATGGTTTATTATATTTTGTACAACAATGAAAAATACAGCTCAAAATAAATTAAGTGTTTTCTTTCCCATCCCATCGTATACATCGTAAAAAATGTAAATCAACTTATAGAAATTCTTGTCTATTACGAAGGGGACAGCGGTATCAATGACGTACTGTGCACTGTTGTCTTACGTATATTTCAATAACGTAATTTATTGGGTTCATTATAATTATATATTGTTTCAGGACTCTAATTATAATTGTTCCTTTTCCGTCTGTATCGGTTTTGATTTATCATCGGTATAAATCATTAACACCCCCCCCCCTGGATCCGAGTGTGTATTGTAGGTACCTATCATCCTCTCTAAAATTAAAGGTATATTTTCCTGTAGGTTTCTAAGTAAAATATACTTAAAATCTAATAAGCACTTTAACTAAATAACGTTGAAAACTAAATATTTCGATAACGAACTGGATGGAAATACTCGATCGTTTTAATATTTTATGCTATACTTACGTTGGGCTTATTTCGTTATCTTGGACACGAGCGGAAGCGATCTTCATGTGTAGTAATTTGTGTTGTTCCGCGTTCGGATAACGTATTTAGTTTTACAGCATATTACGTAACACATAGTCATTATCCAGGCATACGCACACGTCGAGAACCATTGCTCACGCGTGCAGTCGACTGCTGCCGCCGTTTTTATATTATTATAGTCGAGTTGCCGTCGAGTACTAATTATAATATATTATCCGTACGCTTCGCGTTCTCTTTGGCCGAAGTCCGATCGCGTTTTTTCCACATACACATTAATAGTTGTACGGTAGTTTATCCTATATATTATAGTTTTTCAGCCAACGCATCCTGCCAATAGTAACCGATTTTTGTTTTGGTTTTACAGAGAACCGACAACCTGGACTTATCTCTTTCGGTAGCCCACAACATGCATAACAACAACAACAACAATCACTACTCAAGCATGGCCGAACACGTGAGTTGAATTCTGTTTTAATCTAACGTACTTTTATGTCATGCAATAATATTATAATCTATCGTTCTGTACCGCGGTGTACACCGTCCAACTGTACAATTTATCGTGTATTTTTTCCTATACCGTGCCTAAGAATTATATCTATAGTGTCGAATCGGTTGTACGTTCAATAGGATACGAAATTTTGATATGTACAAAACGGATGGATATATTGATGGAGTATTTGGGGCGAAATGACGACGACGATGGTGTGTCGTAATAATACGCCATTTAAACCTATTGTGTACAGATCGTCGTCTTAGCTCGGTGCAGCTGAAATTTTTTGCTAACGCATGAAAGAAGACTGTTGGGGGGGGGTAGACAGACAGATGATAAGTCGCGCAGGATGAACTGCGTTTTCTCGTTGTGTACATAAGTGCGTGTATGTGTGCAGTAGTATCTGAATGTGTGTTTGCAGACTGGACTTACAAAGAAAAGTCATACATTTTAATAGAATGTCTAATAAGACGGATACGTAAGAGAAGGGGGGAAGTGTTACCGCAGTGGCTGGAGAATGTAGTCTGTGTTGGTGAGGACGGGCAGAGAGGGAGATTCGTTGAATTATTCAACAAATATGAAGCCATTGTATGGTGATTTTTCTGCCTTCTCATAAATTTATCAATGCATCTTTTGCGATTTATATCATTTTATGAAAAAATGTATAATAAATTGGCAAACCAGTTTTTTGTAAATCATATTATTAGAAAAAAAAAAAAGAAATAAAAACAAATGAACAAATGAATAAGAGTATAGTAATTTGAAATTAGCCATTATATGTTATTTCCTGCTATGCCTCGCTTTTCCTCTCTCTTTTTTCTGTTTTTCTTCTTATTCTTTCTTTATTTCTCTGTTTCACTTACTCTCTCTCTCTCTCTCTCTCTCTCTCTCTCTCTTTAGTTTTCGTGCATACATTCGTTTTTTTGAAACACTGCCGATATAGTTGGGGTGGAGTGATTAATCGTTTTTCTTTTCGGAACATTACTGCTGCTGAGAAAATGTTTTACAGGTTAAGTAATATCTAGAATATTGTTGGGTGTTTATGAAATTCTTATCCTTATAGTTTTTTTTTTTTCAAGCAGCTCAGCTCTTGACTACACGCCATAATTAGGATACAAAGAGGCCAGACGAACCGCCGTATAACAGCTGGCCGTGGAATGTAATTCATTGTATATATATAAATATATGTACACCTCTCGTCCTTCTCTCTTCACCGACACTTTTCGATTTTTTATTTTTCTTAGTATTACTATTATTATTATTATTATTATTATTATTGTTATATTATCACCATTATTCGTTGTATTTAAATACACTGTTAATAATATAACGGAAAAAAACACTTTAAACAAGCCTGCAAAGATAATACAATGTGTAGCAGTTTTCTGACGTTCGCTCTTACCACCACGGTTCAAGATAAATATGATTTTATTTATTCAATTGCGAAGAATAAACAACTCGTTTATCTTTGTAGAAACATTAATCCTGCCGAACGTTATCTCTATGAATGCCAAAGAGTTGTCGCGGCACAAAGTAAATTGAAAAATAAAAAATAAAAAAAACCAAATGCTCACTATCGGCACGATGACAAGTTTTCTCGACGTGACATTTATTATAATAATAATAACAATAACAATAGTAGGTACATTGTAATATTATAGTTTTGTTTAAGGGTTTATTTATTTAGATTGAATTTTCTACCATTCGTTATCGTCCGAAAAGTTTGTATATATAGTAGATTAAAAACCGTCTAAAACGGTACATGTAAAATCGCATATGGCTAATTGAATATTTCGTTTTAGGCATGTTTCCGGTTAATCCAGTAAGATATCCATAGTATCATTTGCAACGGGGCCATTTATAACCATTTCCGTTATACGTGTATAGACATATTTCTGGCGTATCCAAGGTCCGTTTAAACAGGTTTCACTGTACATAATAATGTTATACTGGAATCTTAAAATACAATATTATCTTGAACGATCCGACGTCGATCGGATGACGATTATACGATGCTATATGCACTTAAACTTTGGCTGCAGCTCACACGCAGGGATTTTGCATGTTATTCCGTGCGCGAGTATTTTTAACTTGTACCCTATACATTTTTTTGCCGTCTGCACGCGTAACACGTTGGAAAAAAAAACGTGACAACGGATTGGATAATAAGGGTACCGGAAGGACAAGAAGCGACTCTGCGGGGAAACGGGATTCGGTTAAATCTACTGCGGTGGTTACAATTTATAGGTAGATAATTTGGTGGCGATAAGACCACGAAAAAATATATTATACTTATAAATAAAGCGGCTGTCAAGATTTCTATCACACGCGAACCCTTCTTAAATAGATTGTTAAACAAGATTCTTTTCTCTTCTTCTCGTTTTTAAGTAGTTTATACTATTATATTATTATACTGAGTACCACAGTTGTAGTGGCGGACCAACAAAAGTATTTTTAATACTCCGTGTACGGAAAACATAATATTAAATCAAATAATTCAATATTGGAAAATTAAAACCTGTTTTTTTTTCAATCCATCTCGTTCATTGACATTTGGCACCCCGAGGTGTACCATGTTTTTTACGATTCTCGAGAGCTATAAAATATTCTAGTTCATTCCGTGTACAAATATATATATATATATATATGTCTATAAATATATGTTATCATTGAACACATTGCCGTAAACCTTAAAGCTTTGTATTGTTATATTTGACAACTCATATTTTTATCTGCGCTGACGCAATCCTACTTGAATACAATAAATCGAGACACCTAAATAAACAGTGTTCGGGTTTGGTAAATTATTCGATATAAATAAGCAATAGGTACATGTCATAGAGTTTTTTCCGCGTATCCTATTCCCTCACATACTGAAAATAGTTATAACAAACAATTATAACCTCTCTTGAATTATGATGTTTTTTTTACATTATACTCGTGAAACACTCGAGGTAATAAAATATTTATTTTTATTTATTGTCGACAGAATGGATTGTTGATTTTACCTAACTTGACGTGTTCAACCTTGATTTATAGAAGTAATAATAAATGTTAAGCTGATGAAATATTAAATAATATTTTATTTTACAACAATGTTCGTCAAAAGGTTATCCAGTATCATATTCCCATGGGGTTTTTTTTTTTTTTTTTTTTATTATTATTTCAAACGTTTATACTTAATAGCGTTAATTAAAACGTAAAAAAAAATATTTTATTCATATTAATTATGCATGTTTTCTTATTATCGTAAATTACTGTAAAATAAATCACAATTTTTAATTAGAAGTTCTCCGTGAAGGTTTTTTCAATCTTTATATTTTATTATAATTGTCTCGGTAATCACGATTTAATAAATTATGCATGAATCGTGGTGAAGGACACATGGCAAATGTTCTTAACGCAGTGTAAATTTAAAATGTTTCCAAGTTTTCAAGACGAAATCAAAATCAAAACAAAAAAAAAAAAAAAAAAAAAAAAAAAAAATGGAAAAATTCACGGGAAAACTTTTCGATATAATATTAAGATTTATAAACATACAAAAATTGCTCGACAGTTTCGAGCAGGCTTTCGTCAGGACGAGGTTCGTTGAACCGAAACGGGCAGCAGCAACGAGGAAATGCATGGCATGCGTCCAAACCGCGCGATTAAACACGAATCAACTCGAAAACGAGTAAAAGTCTAAAATATTTTGAATATTGTATTCTGAATAAACGAATTACAAATGAAACGAAAGTTTGGATTTGTTATACATTTTTTTTCCTGTTCTTCTTTCGAATAATGATTATAATATATTTGATTCACTTTTCGAATTTTCAAGCTCAAACCATTTAAAACGTGTATATTAAGTACAATACCATATATTTAAATATTCGTTATAATAGTAAATTAGTGCAATTTATGCGTATAGGCATAATACTATATTATTATCTATCGTATTATTGTGAATAAAGTTGCGAACAGCAGTAGTTGCGACATGTGGGCACGTGATCTTGCGGCTTCTCCCCTCATCGGTGGACCATATGGCGGATTGGTGAAAGAAAAATACCCAATAATAAACACATGATAATAATAATAGTAATATCTGGTTAATGAACGTTGCGTCGTGGCCAACGACCTATGTAACGGATCGACCTCCGCCATTTCCTTCTCTTCCTGCTCTATCGTGATCGGTTCGATTTCGTATTATAATATTAATAAAAACAACAAAATACGTGTACAAACAATATATCCATATAGTATAATATCACAATAATCTTCAACCTGTAGATTGTTGTACGGTTTTATTGTTTTATGTTTTTTTTACTCCTCGAATTCACTTCCCTGACTTTGCAGCAACTCTTCTACTGATAACGCGATAAAATAATGTATAGGTACAATAAATATGAATATAAGTGCAATAAATACAATAATAAAAACGCACCCTGTAATGTAATGTATGAAAGATTATTAATGGTCCTGAGCGTTGCTAGAAGCACATCGGCACCATCGTTATCCTGCCCACGGAAAGCCGTGATCTTTGAAATTGTATTTCTATCACACACAGTTTTGTGACTGTTAAACCAAAAACAATTATTTATCCGTCTGATCTTATCTCCTTCTCATTTGTTCTTAATATAACATTATGTCACGTTCGACCTTGATCATCCTGTGTTTAATCAGGACCCAATTGATAGTCCGTTCTGAGCGTCACGACGGATTATGATTTTATAACCGTTAAGAGTCAATCGTTTTTATTCTTTTATTTTTTTCCTAGAACTCTAATGTTATATTCTCTTCGATATGGTGTTTATTTTGTAAATTGTACAATTTTAATTTTAGAACTTAAAGTTTTGTTATTGTTTTTTCATACATTTATCGGAGACTTGCCATTTTTAATTAAATAAAAAGCTCAAACGAGGGCATCGCAGAACAACGTTGTGTAAAAAATGTGATTGTTCCACATCGTTAAAACATGATTTATCAACTAAACACATAAAGAATAAATTGAATCCGTAATATTCTAAAAATATAAAACGTTAGTACCTACTTTGTTGAAATAACGTAACACATTTCTTTGTGAATATTATTATGTGAATATATTTTAAAAGTAATATGAACATAGATACGGTTGAGATAATATTCAAAAAGATCCTATTTAGTATTTCTTTTATGTTACAAGTCCAAATATAATTGCGTATTTATTATTTATGTATTTTTCTTCCAAAAACAACTTTAAATTTCTTTCTCGAGGGAATACAATTTCTTCGGAAAATGTAAGAAGTTTTGTTTAAAAAGTATTATAAAGTTCCAAATGAAAACGGTGTCCTTTCATGGATTGCAACTTTTTCTTTTACAAATAGTTTTCTTTGCAGGTAACATAAAAGCCTAACACCTAATGATCACGTGAATCGATTTTGATTAAAAAAAAAAAGTACATCTTATTCCCATTGGCCTCATTTAATCGCTCGAACTTTTTGTACGATCAATACGATCAACACGACATAATACATATAATATATATATGTACGTAAATTCAGTGTTCACATTTTAAAGAGTCTAAACAATTTATAATCTTGTCGGGTTAATAAAAGTTAGCTCAAGTGCTTTTGAAGTATTTAATTGATAATTAAAAATGTAGTGTTGCGACATTGACAAAATAAGATAACCATGTCAAAATAATTTCAGTCTATTTGAATAATAAATCAACGAATACAAATTCCCATTACGTTTGGAATAAAAATTAATTAATAATTTTATCATTCAATTTTGAATCCCAACAGCCTTATGTATTATGAATTACGATTTTAAATTAAAAATTGAAAATCAATGAAACATCATTGTGGATGGACTTCTGCTTAGGGCAAAACGAATTATGGGAGTTGTTTTTAAAACTAAACGTTTCCGTGGTGGGCGGGATATGATTGTGGTCTCGGGGAATAGAGATTTAAAACAAATACAAAAATGAGAAAAAGCAAATAGCAATTTAAAACAAAAGGCTACCATGAATAGAAATGTATATTGCCCCGGAGCGCTAATTACAAATAGAAGTTTGTAATAAATTGTTATTGGCTCAGTGGTTACGTTTTTAATTAGGAAAATGTTTCGTAGTATTCATAAAACGTTTAATAAACAGACAGTTTGGTTTTAAAATTAATCTCAATATAACTTTTCGAAACTACTGAGTGCCGTTCACATCGATGATTTAATGGCAATCCGAAAGGTTTAATATTATTATTTAATTAAATATCATTCTTATTAATATTCATTTATTCAAGTTTTTTTTTTATTTCAAAAATTATCTCATATTTCCTTCGTCGTTACAGCATTGCCGCCGGAGTATCTCAAGATTACATTAATTACCTTGACAATACTAATGGACATAATTCCGTCACAAATATTTTATATATATTTTTTTTTTCGATTAATAAAATATCATTCCCTACCTATGTCATTTGATTCACGCACATATATACCTCTAAAATATTTAAAACGTATACATAATATACACGATACACTCACAATGTCCGATGTAAGTCCGTCAAAACTTTCTAAACTACATTCCAAACGTTTCATCCGTCAGGCCGAAATGACATTTATCGGAATGCTTGTACGACTACAATTAGAACGAGTTTATTTCTTTGCGTACAATCTAGTAATGATTGTACCCGAATCGATGATGCAATTACGTCGTAGACCGACTAGAAAACCAGTGTCTTTGCACTGAAAAAAAAAAAAAAATTAATTAAACAGTAGTCCGTGTTTTGTCATGCGGCCGCTAGAACATTCTCTGCAGAACACCACCCACTACGCCTTACTCATTTCTATTCTTTGGCATATTTTCAATTTTTTTATCAAGAAGGGGATTTGGATTTTTTCTAAAAAAAATTGATTTCAATTTCATGAAAAAAATACATTTAAGGCATGAATTAATAATTATATTAATCTATTATTTTTATAAATACAAATTAAGGGTTATTTTCAATCACATGATGTATATTAATGTTCACGTTCTCGAAACCTTCGTGGCTAGTAATTTATGAGTTTTTAACTTTCCTTTTATTCCTATGGGGCTCGAGACCTGAGAATCCCCCTCCCCACCTCCAACCGAAAATATGCCACTACTGCGATCACGGTTGTTTTCAATATTGATTATTAATCTATTTATAATAAAAATGTATCCACAAATGCGAGTGTATAAGGTTTTGTTTTCTGGATTTTTCAGACTTTTCACGCCCCCAGTTTTGGTGACGAGGGTTTTGATATCCCATCGATGGGCAATCAAGGTAATAACGCGAATAACTCTTCAAGTTGTAACAACGTGTCAAGCCCGGCCAACAGCTCGGCCGATTCCATAATAACTTCACACACGCAGCCGCAACCGCCGTCATTGGCTTATCAACACAGTCAGGTGAGTGTGCGATGTGCACCTATGTTATTATCTTAATTAGAGTTGGAAGACAGGGATTCATCTCCGGCCGTAAAATGTTAGAAGGTGTAATTTTTGTAATTATTAACAACTAATTTGATATTTTTAACTTTGTTCAATACTGTTACTAGTTTAAAACTCAATAAGTACGATTTATTATCAGAAAAAAATTCTCGAGAAGAGTATTTTATTATTGATCTTAGATGGGGCATAGTTTTAACATTTTCCTCGGGCGTAAAAATTCCACATAATCGTTTTGTGCTATTATACAACTATTATTACAATTTTCTTATTAATTGCTCGTCATCTCATGACCAATTGACGACATTACCTTGTCCGCTGGATTTCGTACTGTGATATTTCGCCGGTCCTCACGTCTCTCCTTCGAAGTGTGCACACCCCCGACCTGCTGCGACGACCCAATCGATTATCGATAACCAAAAATATAAAATTAATAATAATAATAATGGTAACAATATCTTAAATCGTTTTCACCGTATATAAGCGCAGAACATATCATTATTAATATTATATATTATTCTGTATTACCGCAGTGCGTCGAGAATATTATTCAATCATGATTTATGAGCACCGGTTTGTTTTTATTAAATTTCATCATTCGGCGTAGGAAATTTCCTTTGATAAATGTGTATTTATTATCTTTAGTTTTCTTTTAAACGGACCGCGATGATGTATGTTAACGTATTAATACCAAGATTTTTTCTCTTTATGTCACTCCCGATATTTATGAGGCAAATTGTTTTTTCTTTTCTTTTTTTTTTTTTTACTTTGTTTCTTTATTTATGGTGTTATATGGCCGAAGGCTAATATTTTGACACAATATTCATAATTTCCTATGAAAAAAAGTAATAATAACTATAGCGATAAATCTTTTTGAATATTATCGTGAAAGGGTAATATTGTAAAATTTATGTTTTTCCTTATAGAAATTGAATGAATACAATCGACTTAAAAAATTAGAGAACATTTTTAACTTGTAGTGATTAATTATTGTGTAAGATATAGTTGATGTTTTAAAATTTTTAATTTTTATTTCTCCGATTTTTTTTTACCAAAAACAATTTATTATCTACGTCAGTACAATCAATTATAATCGTATATTTTATAACAATTTAAATACTCAAAATGACCACTTTGGATTTCATTGTTTAAATTATATTTATTCCCTAACGTACATATATTGAAAAAAAAAAAATGCAAAGTCATTTATCTCCAATATTTATTTAATAAATGGTTTACCCTTATCGTGACATCGTTGATATTGGTCACTAGATAAATAATAGTCTTATTGTTTTCTAAAATTAAAAATCAATTACAATATTACGTTGTTTTATCAAATGCAAAAATATTTTCGTTGTTGTAACTTGCACATATTACTTATATATATATATATTACTTATTAGGATAATATATTGTACGAACTTAAAAATGATTATTTTTAAATAATATTATTGTTATTTAAATTTTTTTTCTGTTTTAGCAGATGATGAATCACCATCATCCGCAAGACACAAGCATGCAGGGGATGAACTCGCACAACTCACACCATTCGCACCAGTCGGCTTACCAACAGCCGCTCTACTTGACGGGCCACGAACACGGTCTAGGACTGAACGTTAGGTATGGGATTTCTAATCGTCCGCCGACCGTGCGACAGACTCGATTGGTTCATAATACCGACGAGAAAGTGTATGTTTATTAACTAATTTATTCAATAATTTAATAGTTTTACAAATCATGCAAATTATAACAATGATATTATGACGTTACGATTACCGAGGTGAGGCAAGTTTTCATAGGTAGCATTACATTTGTTATTTCTTACGCGTTCGATCAAAAAAATTCTGTAAATGAAATAGAGGAAACGGGAAATAGGACTAAATAACCTTCAGATCAGTTTCCACATACGCACAATTATAAATGAATGATGGTATAAAATTATTGTTCAATCGAAAGCATGCATTAATAGTTTTTTTTTAGGTTCATAAAAATGCCACACTACTTTTTGTTGTTATTATTGTTTTTATATTATATTTTTATTTAGATTCAGAACATTAAAAAAAAAAAAAAATTATTTTTATCATACCAGATATTTTACCCCCGCTCACGTCAAAGTTTAGTCGGTATCTAGGATATTTATTCAGTTCGCTTAGCGAATTTTACGCACCATCAGCGATCGCGTTCATATGATTTCGTGCTCGCTGTGCAACTCGTCTAACATACATTAAAAAATACGGTTCAGTCAAATGCCGGTAGAACAACTTTCATTTTGCTCTTGCCGCAGCGCACATTATTCAGGAATATGCATTTATGTATACCGTTCGTCTAAATGGTATTATGCGGTACAAATCTTCCTAATTTTAGTTTATTTGGTTTTAATTTATAACGTTGTACATTTAATTTTCAGTCGTTATTTGAAACTCGCGTTCGAACAATAGTCGTACATAAACGACAAATATAATAATATGATAGTATACAAATTATTCAACTTGGTATCCCTGAGTTCAAGAAACATTATTAATTCAAAACGTCTAAATACAAACAATACAGCACTTGTTAATTGAATTCACCGCTACATTATTTCAAAGTTTAGTCGAATCCATTAGGTAGTTCGTCGAATACAATTAAAATTGAATATATAATTATAATAATAATAATAATAATAATAATAATAATAATACAAATAATAAAAATAATAATAACAACAAAAGTAATGTTCAAAATGTTTTGTTGACTGTTTGAGTTCATTATATTGACAGACGAAAGTCAATTAATTTGTCAATTTTCTAACACGTAATTTCAGTACTTAGATTACGAATGGACACAAATTGTCGTGACAGGTTAGAGTAATGTTTTGACACTGATTTTAAATTATAATTCATTATAAACAATTTTCAAAGAATTTATTGGTTAAAAAAAGAAAAACAATGAACGTATGCTATTACGTCTCGTACACCTATGGGCGTACCGAGTCGCATCGATCACATCGGCCAGACGTAAAAATTAAATTTAGGAAATATTTTGATCCCACAGATCATCGAATACGTTCGTCAACATTATTTGAATCTTCTACGGCACCTCAAATGTTGAATTCTTACTCCAAATGGTTTTCACCCGTACTCATAACGTCTTTTCTCGATAGGGCTTATTTTCTTTTTCATTTTTTTCTTGCTGTAGTAATAACGATTTTTCTCTATCTTCGATTAGTTCTAGTTACTCTCAACCAAGTTACACTCCACTGAACAACACTAACACCCCGAACGGTGCGCAAAACGGCATGATGTACCATCGGCATCACCAAGCATCCAATCAACAGCAGCAGCAACAGCAACAACAGCAACAACAACAACAACAACAACAACAGCAGCAACAACAACAGCAACAGCAGCAGCAACAACAACAGCAGCAGCAGCAGCAACAACAACAACAGCAGCAGCAGCAGCAGCAGCAACAGCAGCAACAACAGCAGCAACAGCATCATCATCAGCAACAACACCCACCCACCCATATGGCGCAACCCACTCACCTACCCGCCCACCACTATACCAACATGGGGCCGCCGGCGACCAGTCCGCTAACCCCTTCGCTGGACATACACCGGCACTCCAACCCTACGCCTACCCCGGAAGGCATAAACACCACCAGCGACGACAGCGACGACAGCACACCGCATCAGACGATGGTAAGTATCCATAAAAATAAGAAACTTCTTTAGTTATGTTTCCCCCCCTTACCCCTTCCCTAAACGTAATCCTAGCCAGAGCTGACCAATTATGTTCATCAATCACGACGACCACTTATTCGTTATTTTCGTTCGGTATTTTTCCATCTGGGAATCACTCTCAATGTCCGTCGTAGGGTCGTCGTGGTCGCATCATCGACTACCGATTGTACTCGGCCCGTCGTGGTCGTCAAACCATTCGGAAACATATTTTCACCGTGTTCGCATCTCCGATGCATCTTCCGGAGACTTTCGGTCACCGTAATAATAATCTTCCTGCGCCGAACTCACTAGAGAATATTACGACTGACGTTAACTGCATTTCTATACCGCACGCGCACTCATATTTTCTCGATAGGCGCAGTATGCAAAACGATCGCCTCGACTCTCGTGCAAGTTGTCGAACGGCTGTCGGTTTTGATCACATTCGCCGTTCACATGAATATCCGCTGCCGAAACCGTTCTCCGAAGTCGGTAAAAAGAATTCAGTGTACCGCTGGTGCGCAATGGCGTTCGCTGGTCTACAGCAATTTAATTTAACACGTAAAGCGTGATTACCGCCCTGAACATTTAAGCCGATTCGGTCTTCGTACGATAAATGTGCCCTGTAACGATCCAATGATTCATACCTCCCAGACACTGGATGTGCGTTTTACGGTTTTGTAATATTTCATAACGATCGTAAACGGTTCACTGTTCCCGGTAAAAATCTACGGGCTTCCCCCCCAACGATCTGAATAGCGTAATTTAACTTCCCATTGTTATTATTTTTATTTTATTTTTGTGCACAACTTCAATTTCCTGTTTATGTTTTTGAGTGTTCAAAATAATCCAATAATGTCGTGTAAAGTGAAATAAAAATGGGTAGGTGTTTTCAAGTAAAATTCTAGGCAATTCCGTTTGAATAATGTATGCAATTTTATGCAAAAGGTAGGGTTTATATTGCCTCTAAAAAATAAATAAAATATATTTATATACATATCTTTCACATCCATATTTCATACGGTATTTTCGGGTTAAAAATATATTATCATCGTATGACGGTCTCGTACGTACTTCACGGGCCCCGGATAGTATGATACATTGTGTTTCTTGGTTTATATTTATCAAATAATTGTACGCTACTATTGATTGTATTTAAATAAACGTACCTAACGAAAACAATCTAGTTAGAAAACGATAACAAAATAATGTTATACTTACGCGTTGAATTGTGTCCGTAATTAAGACCATCTTATTTTCTACGCATTTGTAGTACTGAACATACATCAGATTTTTTTGCTCGCGAAACTCATCAGCACGCGATGTTTTACCATTAAAATTATATAATTTATTTGTACGCCCGTTCCAAAGTTATATTTTTCGTTTATTTTCAGCTCGCAATAAAGAGGGAAAGGCTATCTCCAGAGCCGCTGGACGGTTGCGGAATTATGAAAATGCAACAAAAGAAGCCGAAACCGACCAAAAAGAAAAAGAAAAGGGATCCCAACGAACCGCAAAAGTAAGTGACCAGACTTACGGACATACATTATTTTCACAAAACCTGGGTGGAATGGGAGACAGGTGGTTGGGTGATGATAAAACGACGACGGGAGACGGATGATCTCATCGATCCGTGTGTAATTATTATCATCATTTCCGTTGTAGTTGCCGGGGTGGGTAGCGGTGGCAGCGGGCGTCCCTTTAACAATACATTATAATACGTACAGATCCCCTCCTGCAGTCGGGTGCGTGTTTTTATCTGTTAACTAAAAGGGAGAGTTTTACAATGTTATGACTCGGATCAATACACGGTGCAGTCTGTTGCTGCTCGGAAGTATCCAAACCGAATTTCCTACACCCTTTTTATATGCACCCCTCGATGTGCTTATTCATGGAGTTTTAGACGGCTTTTCCATGAAAATTCTACTTTGTTGTCATCGCCGTCCTCCCCGAGCCATACGAAATTAGCTTCAACAAATTCAAAAGAAAATTATATTTTCGCGTTAGAGCACCATTCTCGTCCGATCGGGTCTCGGCAGATCCGCACGACAGTTAACGTTTCATCGCATCTCATCATTCACGTAAAAACTTTAATACGTAATAATTAGTTCGGTTGTAATGTTGTCTTATCGATGTGTGATGTAAAAACGTGCACACAACTTTAGGAAACCCTGAAGTAATATAGGGTGCATGTGTGTGCGATTGTATTTATTTTTAATGCTACGAAGTTTGTTGTTTAAACAGCTGCGCCGCCACCATTGTATACATATTTTTTAACAGTTTATAAATAATGTGTTTGACCTATCAAGGGTAAATCTTGAAAATAATTACTTAAATTATAACCAGCAGTAATTTTTATTTTTTTATACCTTCCGTTGTATGTGTTTAATCATATTCGATTAAGCCGTAGGCGTTTTGTGTCCCTCTTGGATTCCGGTGCACATATATTTGATAATAACAAAAGAAAAACTAAGTAAACGACGTTTGTCAAAAATACTTTCGAAATTCAAACCAAATACTAACGTTAACGTAAACCCTGACGAATGCGAATTTTACCGTTCCGATAATAATGAAACACGTATTTTTGAACACATTGCTAATCGGCGGAGCGGAGTAACCGGAGTGAAACGCTCGCGTATTTTTATGATTATTATCTTTATGATTGACAATAAGATAATCCGACGACGACTACGTGAGTTTTATAATAAAAGTGGCTTATGCAAACTTTCAATCAATCTCTGTGTCATATTGAATAGGGAAAAAAAATAAAAACGTACGATACTCGACTTCACAACAGACGTTTAATACAATAATATTGCACGCACTATACCTACTATGACGACGTCGAGTGGAGTATTAGCCAAATGCGTTAATATGTTTACGTTGGTCCTCCCGAATCTTTCTTAACGATATGTTTAAAACACGTGTGTATGTATGTGTGTATTTGATGGTCAAGAGCGAACGGAAATGGAGGCATCTTTTGTGAAGATCTCATTAGAAATAATTTGTGTTTCATTTTTCTTTATTTCTTTGCACGCCATTGTTGCCAGCTAACGGTCTCTAAAGAGTCTCCTCTCACTATCTATTTCTCTCTTTAGTCACTACACAGAACTACGGCACACGAGCACAGCAGGCGCCATCTCCTCATTTTGCTGGTCAAGTCCTGAAAAACGTTCACTCTTTTGCTCGAACGAAAAAATAAAATTTACTCTACGAAATTCTTCAGCGATTTATTTGCATACCCGAATACATTGTATTTACACAGTTATTATTACACCTGTTCTGGGTATAAAACTTCGTGTTTGTACAGTTTTTTGTTCCGCCAGTTATAGTTTAACATCATACGTTAATAGTCAATATTTACTGATGATGTGCATATATTGTACACTTGTGTAGGCCCAATTGACTTTTTATTTAAGCTAATTAATGGGAAACCAATGGAATTATAATACGAACACAATACACATGTCATAACGTATTCATTGTATTTTTAAACGTACTCTTTTTTTTTTTTTTTTTTTCTCCTTTTTCTTACGAGATATTCATAATTTTAAAATAAACCTTAAATGCTGTATTTTTTTTTCCTTTTTTTTATATTTACAATACTCTTCCTCGTGTTTTTTTTTTTAATGTTTTTCTCTTATTTTTATTACATCATGCTGTTGTAAAACTAAAATGCTGAACCCTTATTTTTTATTTAAAATTTAATTTCGAAATATTTTTCTGAAAAATTTCATGGTGGAATATGTAATATTGAAAAAACAGAGCATTCTTCTTATCTATAGACTATAACCATCCGAAGTTAAGCCATGTGTAGTAAGATAGAAAACGGTGGTAATGCCTAATTTTATCTCTTTGGGAATTTTAACTGCTTCTTTTAAACTTTAAGTAGTCATATAGCTAGTAAACTATTTGTGCAATATCGAGTATCCATAAATCAATAGTTACAAAAGAATATATTTTATTGTTATTATCTGGGTTATAAGTTAAGGGTTATCATGAGAAAATACAGAAAAATTCGTTGTATTTTTCTACATTGTATTTAAGTAATGGTAATCATTCTACAAGTATAAAAATACATAATACATTTATAACTTATGATATCCAAAACGTTTATTAAGAACAAACAATTTGAGCAACTATAAAATAACTCTCGAGTAGTAATAGAATTAAAATAAAACTCTTTTTCTCTGCAAGCAATCACAAAAATGTGTGTACGATATTAAACGCTTTTTTGAGCTATTTTCATTTCAGTTTTTTTATTCGTGGCGCATGACCTTCCAATAATTATAAATGTCATCTATATTTTTTATTCGCCCTGTTTAATGTTGCATTCATTATCATCAGTCGTCAGTATTAATGTATTATGATATAAAATATAGTCTGGTTATCCACAACTGGAGCAAGAGCCCTTAGTCGTGCAAATGTCTATGATCGTGAACATATATCACGTTAATAATAATATAATATGATGTGAGATAAATGAGTGAAAACGAAAAAAGTTATCATGGATTGGTGTCAGTTACAACTATAACATTAAGTACCTTTAGTGTTTCGAACGTGCTATTGTAAGTAAAATGATATCGAATCAATTTTCAAATCGACCAAACATAAAATACTACTAATTATACCTTTATGTAATACAATGCTTTTTAACTGCGCAAGTTTTTCAGTTAATTGTCCAATCATATATATGACTGTATATATATATATATATTCATATATGATTGTAGTTGTTTTAAGATAATGTCAACTTAGCACGATACTCGCGTCTTGAAAAATATAAATAATATCATCGACTAAATTATGTAATAATTATTGTTACTCTTTTCGTATATATTATTCGTAAGAGATGATAGTTAATGGAAATCAAACAATACAGTGCGCCAGATGAGCATTATAATTGCACAATTTTGAAATCCAACCTCGAGCAGCGGACGGTACCAAATCTCCAGGCATATGTACCACCTATACCTACGTATGCAATACGCTACAGTTCCGTTTTCGATAACGAATAGTATGAATGAAGATAGACGCTGCTCGTGCGCGCAAATTATTTAAGCTTTATTAAATACAAATTGACCGTGTTCGCCAGACCGAATAACAATTGTACATCGGTTTCGCGGGAAATTGAATATCTGCACGTGCGTTTTCGATCAATCCGTTTAAAACAGCTACTACACTATTACTAACACGCACTTATACCCTCGGGGTCATCGTTTTTTTGCGAACACATTTATTTGGGCATTTCCCTTTTTTTCTTTCCACTTTTTAAACGGGTCTCCGAACAAGATCGATATCTTCAAAGGTACCTGCTACACGCTCGGACGTGTAAATCGGAGCGTGACGCGGGAGTGGTGCTCGACGCGTGCCCTCGAAGACCGTCCGAAAGGCCGTTGTTGCTACAACATTATTATAAATCGTTGTACGGTGTCGGATTCGCCGTGCTCGTCGGCACGTGCGATGAGATCGTTAGCTCGCGGACGGTTTCCACGCGAACGTTTAACGTAACCGACCGTACGGTTGTTATTATTACGCTGAAACGGCCGCGGAAACGTGTCCGGGGTAAAAGACGAAATTAATAAATAATACCACAACACTGTTGCGATAGGCGCACGTGGTCAACGAAGACGAACGAGCGAAATCGTCGATTTGTTAACCGGACGGGTCCGATTTATTCAGATAATGCTGCAGTGTTTTTAGACCGATCTAACCGTTGTTCTAAATTATCACGTGTTTGTGGTTTTTATTCAAAGTATCACATATTTAGCATACGTTTTTCGTTAGAAATATATATTTATTCAAATATTTTCCACTCGACAATGTTCGTTAATCTCACCTGGACACGTGTTTTTATATGACTGCGCTGTGTGAACTATGAAATGCCTCGTTTTATATACGTACGCACAATCGTCATCGTCAATCGCACAGCACGTGCTACGTTTACGTCGTTCGGGCAACATTTGAATATTATTACTGTTCGAAACCGTGTCCGAATACCGGTGAACCCAAGTCCGCCGTTAATTATTTGTCTGCTGTAATACCATGCGTGAACGTCCGAACACATTATTTGTTTAGTCTAAAAAAACCGATGCCGTTTCGATAAATCACACGTTTAATGTGGCGGCGGCAATACACACTCGTTAAATTTACTTCGCTGCGTTTTCAAAACATTAGTCGATGTACAAACGCACGATAAACGTACGGATTGATAATCTGACGCGAAATATTGTACATCTTCCTTTGACGTTTTCGACGATATCCGTCTTTTACGTGAACGTTTCATTCCGAAAATGTATTTACGTTTGTTGACGATAAATTATTTTCAGCAATCGTTTTCTCGAAACGTATTTCGGTGAATCGATCATTATTCAACGCGAAAATATTTGACAATGTTATTAAACCGTTTTTATTCTTTCCGTCTACCGTTTTCGAGTTAAAAGACAACAATACGGCAATAAAATATGACGTGTACACGATGGTAACACATATGACACATGCGTCTGTGCGCATTGATGGGACCTCGTCGTAAAAACAAAAAAATAAACAGATACAATATACTCCCAGACGGTGTTTCGATAACCGCTAGTTTATTATACTGCAGTGGACGTCTCTCAGACAACGCCCGCACACCGTGTGCGCACGTCTGCGTTTTGTAACTTTATTTTTAATTCACCGCCGTCGAAAACCGTCCAGATATAATTGCACCTGAAGTGGAAACAGCTGATAATGCGATATTATTCGGACGAACTTTCGCGAATTATTGTGTTCGGTAGTGGGAAAACTTTCCCGTCTGGACGGGTGTGCATATTTATTTTCGGAATGTGGTAATTTTCGTCAAAAACTTCAAACCGACCGCTCCTCCGCGTCGCCGGCCCACGAGCGCTCACCCCAACGACGGAACCCACGTCGACCACCTACCCCTGCCGAAACCACCACCACCTCCGCGCTTGTCCTGTGTTACGTTCCCATTCGTTATCCACCGACAAAAGTTTATTATACTTTATGTTGCGTGCCGAAGTATTGATCTTTGTGTGCATAGGGGCCCGGGTTATTGCTTAAGTTGGTTCTCGTCGAGTGTGTAAGCGCAGCCAGTGTGTACGTACTACGGTTGTTCGACATTTAAACTTTTCAATGAAAAAAAAAAAAAAAAAAAAAACGTCACGCGTCTTTACTTCATTGCAGCGCAATGCGAGCCGGCAAAAACTCGACGTTACGTACCGGAGGAATCGCGAAAATGTTTGCACGTCCGAGTCGGAGTATACCATTGTATGTACATCATGAAATACTAAGGTGGTGTTTTTCACCACGTCTACAATTTGTACGACAAGTTAGGCATGTATACTACATTATGAAGTAGGCTGTACAAACAACAGTACATAACACCATGATTATAATAATATCACGTCGCAAAGTGAACGATTTTTTTTTTTCGATTTCGTACGTAAATCCTCCGCGTTAGTAGTTGATATATGTGGTTTTTAGACAATTTTCAATGGACAGCCCGCCGATCGCGATATTACCTCGGCGACCGCGTCCACTTGTTCCGAATGACAAAATTAATTACATCCGAATCGATTCTCAGACTTTCGAAAAATGCAAAACGCAATGTAGAACAATTTTATTTGTAATATTATTTCCTATGTTCATTTTTTTAAATTTCCGAAATTGGACGGACAACTATACTAACTTATAAATTTGATTGTGTCGTTAAAATTAAATATATGGGGAAAAAATAAATTAAAGACACGATAAAAAATAAATTACATTACGACTTATTTGGAAACAAAATAGCAAAATCCCATAGCTATCTAATATACGTGTATAAAGGACTGTTTAAAATAATTTAAAAACAAATTCGGTTACACCGGTTTCTCACCACGGACGCCTGCGGCAATCGAGTTAAAAAAATGTATTCTATAATATTTAATCATAATAAAAATGGTGGAACCGATAAACAGAGTTTAGCACTGCGTGTAGACGTGTAAAACTACCGAATTTGTCTCACTGGCTAAGTTTTTCAAACTCCAAATTCTACTCGTCTAATCAATACTCGGATGATAATTATTCAAGATAACGCGCAATTATAACGTTAGTAAATACATTAAAAATTATGTACGGAAACAAAATGTTTGCAGCGGCACTGCAAATACCATAGAATCGCTAACGGTATAATTACTATTATTATTATTCTGAGAACAAAGCCACTGCGGTGTAAATCAAAAACCGTTTAATTTTTTTTTAACGCTAACGCGTGACCGTTTTCATAAATAAAAACGGGCATGCACATATCTTGCTAAAAATGTAAAACTATAGCAACACTCTCAAAATGGTCTGACGCGTGCTGTGAGCTTATGAAATATTATTAGTGGCGCCAATCTTTTAAAGTCTATCGTAAAAACTTCCCCTATTTCGATATTGGATCCTCCCCAAAAAAAAAAAAAAACATTACTCCTCGTTCTGGTAATGAAAAAAAGGAAAAAGGGGAGTATAATAATAAATATAAATATAACTTAATTATTTTGTTTGCGCAATTCTAACAACATGCTGTAAAAACTTATTATAAAAATATAATATAAATAAATTAACAACGTAAAGTGCATTTGGTAAATTAAAAATAACGTTTTATCATTATAAATGTATTTATATTTTAAACAAAAAAACCACTCTGAAATGTTTGTAAATTAATTTATTAATTATCTTTTGGACCAACAAAATAATGCACAGTATGAAAATCAAAAACAGAAATGAACGTAAAATATATAAACGTTAGGTACATAAATACAATTTAAAATGGTAGTTTGAATGAATACAAAAATAAAACGGCACAACTTTAATAAACATTATTAATTTAATGAACTAAAATATTGAACAGTTAAATTAATTTTATTATCTAAGTAGTACAAACAAAATAAATTACAGAGAGTATTTTTAGTGCATAATATAGTCATTTTTATTGTTCAAATACATGCAATATAAACATCAATGGGATTTAGAGCTCCCGGACGTTCTGGTCATAAACTTTCGAACCCTCATAATTAAAAATGTATTCCAATTTTCAACCAATCCAGAACCACATTTAGTTACGTTGAACCCAATGATTAAATAAATCAAATGATATAATATCGCCCTGTTTCTATTGCCGTTTTATCCTATTGAGTTGGTTTGCGTAAAAATTAATTTAAAAAAAAAAAAAAATTATTGCTCATAATACAAAATACAACTGTCCGGAAACATAATTGAATTGGACTCCGTAGACGATGAAAATAATCGAACGCCGTGTTTCTTCCTGTTGGCGCCTGCAGTGATTGTTAAAAAAAAAATCATTTTTTTCCCGTTAAAGTGGTTTGGCTAATTTCAAATATGGTTTCTAATATGGTGGTTTCTAATTTCATCATGTCTATTTTCGTCGTGCCGAGACGGCAAACAAATAGCTGATATAATAAAAAAAAAATGCAAAAGAAGAATCAATTAACGTAATATTATTATATTTTTTTTTTCAGACCGGTATCTGCTTACGCACTTTTCTTCCGGGACACACAGGCTGCAATCAAAGGCAAAAATCCTAACGCCAGTTTCGGCGAAGTTTCCAAAATTGTGGCGTCCATGTGGGACTCGTTGGACGCGGATCACAAAAATGTAAGTCTACCACTACTTCACTCTATAAATCGAGGTCCATACGTAGAATAAACGTTTAGTAATCGTATGTATAACGTTGAAAATTTAATTGATTAACGGTGACATTGATATTTGTTTATAATGAAAATATTTCACGACAAAATGTAAATACGTTAATTTGGCGTAACGTTTGTTTATGTTAAATTGAAAGTAAATGAAATATTATTACTGTTTGACTGACGGATTAAAGTCCTTTTTATTATCAATTCTTTCTCTTGTCAAACCCGTTTGCTTGTGAACATTTCCTCTTATTATTTATATCGGTGAAAGAAAACATTTTATATAGAGAAGAAAAGCTCTTCCACCGTCGTTCCACCACCCACCATTCTGTTTCATTTTTCACAGCTACACAATCTCTATACGAATGAAAAATAGTAATCCATTTTTAGGAGTGCCCTCAGTCAGTTCGAACACATTAATAAAACCAAATACTGAAAAGAGAAAAACAGAAAAAGAAGGGTGGGCCGTGTCTGAGGAGGGATCGGAAGAACGAGGGTGTGGGAAGCGTGGAACAGTGTTGGGGAGGTTATTTTCTTTCTAGAGAATAAATAATACCGGGGCTGACGTTATGAAAATATAGGTGGAATGGCTTGCATGGAATGAAGGGTAGGGAGAAGTAATTTCTAAAGCTTTTTCACTTGTAAATTCGCACACTGAGGTAAATTGGTGTACATGTGTGTGTAGGTAATAGGAAATATCGTTGAACACATGTAAATAATAATAATAATATTAAGGAGGTGGTGGTGGCGAGGGAAATTCACTTTGTAAAATTCAGGTAGTTCTTTGGTCATGATCGAAATATTACGTTATATATTATGCATAGTTACTTTAAAACTTATTAAAAAAAATAATAAAAATGATTTCGTTGAATAGGAAAACCCGTCCTAGACGTGATTAATCGAATATCTATCGAATTATATACATGTAATATGTAATATATAGGTATTGCATTGCCATAACAGATATAAATTATACGTGTGTGACGGGACTTACTAAAAAATCCTATTAATAATAACGTCTTGCATAATGCTCATGTTTAAACTCGTTGTATAGTGATATATTAGTCTACATTTTGCACAAACACGCGCATAACATATTTTTCCGAGAGACGACGCTGTGTAAAATAATGCTTAAAACAAAACTGTTATGTCATCGTTAGAAGATAATATTGTGGAGGATGGATTCAGTATATTTAAATAAAGATCATATTTTTAAGGCAAAAATGTATACGTTTTGACACCGCTTATGCGGTCTTTTCATTATTTAAAAAATAAAAATGTGTTTGATAACTTGGAGACTTGCACTCGACACTGAGAGTATTATTCGGCCACCATGCCCTATTAAATTCGTATATTTTGTCACATTTCACCGACAAAACACACGAAGACCTTTTTCGTTGAGGTATTCAACTTAACCTACTGCACGCATTATCATATCCAATAAAAATATAAATATGAATTTGATCGCAATCAGTGCAATCATAAATATCGCAAAGCAAATATTTTAAAATCTATACACATTCGTATATCCGGGGCGTGATTGGAGGGGTTAGATGTTATAAACTAGTTAAATATATAATTTTTTTTTTTTTTTTTTATGTTTTATGTTCTGTCAACCTTTTTTTTAATATTGTGTGAAATGAAAAACAGAAAATATAAACCATAAAAATTAGTGCAATATCGAGAAATAAGTCCGATTGAAAAGCGTATTGTTATCGGGAATTCGTGTGAAACGAGTAGGAGGAACTAACGGTTTTGGTATGTGCAATAGAAATAATGTTCTAGGACAGTACATAATATGTAAATAGTCGTTACGGCGAATTAGTAAATTAAGCACAGCCACTCGAATAGTTATAATAATGATAACGATAATGATAATAATATAATAAAATGTTTACATTTCCGTACATAAATGGGCTATCAGGATACAGACAACACAAAATGTTAATAACAGTAAAATACTAAGTGATCGGTGTACCTATATGTATACTTTCACAAATCTGTTGACCCGATTCTCATGATTTGTATTATAGGCTTGTATATATGTATTCCTGTGTGTGTGTGTGTGTGTGTGTGTGTGTGTGTGTGTGTGTGTGTGTGTGTGTGTGT